CACACACACACACACACACACACACACACTCACAATGTTTAAGTAATTCCTGATAGGACAGAGTCAGAAAGCCATGAGACCTGAAAGAGGCCGAGCTTACGACTAACATTTTGTATTTTACAAAAGAAAAGAAACTATCTCATTAATAAGGGTCATAGTCACCCTTGGGTTTCCCTATGTTAAACTGTTACTGCTGCTTCATGTGAAATTGGGATAGGTTATTCTGCAGGAGGATTACTTTTTGAGGGAACCTTCTTTAGTACAGTTAGACGGGGTAAAAACCACCCAGTTGATTTAAGTACTTCTCCTTTCTGGAGCTATGCATAGATCATCTGATAGGTTCTGGAGGCTGGACACCAGTTCATTCACAAATGACTCAGATTTGCAAATATTCATGATATTATTCCATTCTAACTTAAAAGAGACATGGCATGGCCCTGTGGAAAAGAGACCAGAGGGGCTGCTGCTTGTCTAGGCCTGCTGTGAGGTGGGTGTGGTATTGGGTGAAGCCCAGGACTGCAGAAGCCTGGACAAGGTAACCGCTGGGCAAGGGCTTACATTTACCTGCACAAATTATTTCTGTTCCAGTGGATGTTCCTTTTCTCAGGCACCCTGCCTTTTCTAGCCACTATCCTAGTGACCCTCTGAATTTGTGATCCTGTCCCCAGAGGTGCTTTAGAGGCTTTACTTTTCCACCCCACTGCTGACGTTTACAAGAGCCTCTCTTTCTACAGGTAATCCCAGGTTCCACCTGCGCTGTCTTTGGCCTTGGAGGAGTTGGCTTATCGGTCATCATGGGCTGCAAGTCAGCTGGGGCCTCTAGGATCATTGGGATTGACCTCAATAAAGCCAAGTTTTAGAAGGCCCTGGCTGTAAGAGCCACAGAGTGCATCAGCCCCAAGGACTCTGTCAAGCCCATCAGTGAGGTGCTGCCGGAAATGACAGGCAACAGTGTGGGCTATACTTTTGAAGTTATTGGGTGTCTTGAAACCATGGTGAGAACCAAAATTCAGGGAGCCACAAAACGTACCCAAGCTATGAGATATGCATGAGATTGAGCTCATGTCCATAACTTTATTAGGTACAGAATTAAGTATTTGTCAGGCAAAAGCTGATAACCATGGAAGGATTTCACCTAAAAGATACAAATGTGAAGAGCAGTTCTACTTGGCAGAGCACAGTGGAATGGTAGTAAGCACATCTCAGTACAGGGTTCTTAAGTGTTTGTCATCTTCCTTGTACATAGGAGTTCCTGGCCAAAGTGATTCCATCTTGAATTTTGTTTAGCAATCACAAGCTAACTCCCTGAGCAAAAGGGCAGATGCAGGGTGGAAAGACACTATTCTGATGTTGCAGTCACTCCCCCAAATCTGAGACTGACCCATATTGTCACCATTTTCTCCTGAGATCTATCTTCCTTTATCCAAATTCCCTCAGAATATGGGTCTTTGAGCAGTATTCAGTATTGGGTATGCTATTAGGGACTATCGATTTTTGATACTGTGAAGAACACTGGTCTCTGAAATATATACCAACATTTGTGTTATACTGTAGCAAGTATATAAACATAGCTTAATGAATGGACATATGACCAGAAAATGGGGATTAGCCTCAGAGATACTACTGAGAGTCCTTTGTTTCACACCTCAGTATTTTAATTTTCAAACGAAAAGTTTAAACCTATGCCGATTAGCTTCATTTTGTTTCCCTCAAGTGACTTATGACTTACCTAAATGGTTGATATTGGTGAAAAAATCACAAGGATTTTCCTGTGTTTTAATCCCTGGCACACTGGAGACATCACTACCCTGGCCATGTAAGTGACTGCCCAGTGTTATGAAGGAGAGATCTGTGCAGGAAGGAATGCAATGAAAGACTCGAATTTCATTGAAGATTTTTAAAAGCAAGTAGAGTAGAAAAGGATGTAGACTTAAGTTAACTTCAGACTTGAAAGCCAAGCTAATTTACTAGAACTATGATAGTTCCTAGGCCTGTAAGATCTCACAAGAGGCCTGAGAAGCTAATTTTATTACTTGTTTTGAACTCAGGTCGATGCCCTTGCATCCTGCCACATGAACTATGGGACCAGTGTGGTGGTGGGTGCGCCTCCTTTGGCCAAGATGCTCAGCTATGACCCAATGCTGCTCTTCACTGGATGCACATGGAAGGGGTGTGTCTTTGGAGGTGAGGACAGCAGAGCCTGAGGGTGTTATGGGTTTCCTTCTGAGGCTTGGTACCTGAAAGCAGCCTACTGTATCTTCCTCACATCTGGCTCAGAAACCTTCCTTCAACCGGGCCTGGTGGCTCACCTCTGTAATCCCAGCACAGTGGGAGGCTGAGGCAGGAGGTTGGCAAGTTCAATCCCAGGCTTAGTGACTTAGTGAGACAGTGCCTCAGAAATAAATAAATGTGATGGGATATAGTGTTATGTTTCAATCTCTAGTATGACAGAAAAACTTTTTCTGCCAAAAAATGAGGATGAAATGAACTAAAGTAGAACCATGACCACAATAATATAAAAGATAATTATCCACTTTTCATTTTGATTTAGGGGATTATTGGTGGGCACATTTTTAGTATTAGCATCAGCAATCCACTTTCCCAAAGGTCTGAAGCAGTGATGCCAGTAGTGTTTCTATGGGATGATCAATGTTATGTTATTCTCCATACACACAAGAATAGAATATGCCTGAAAAATATAGAATTAGCAAAATATCTGGGCCCAAAGATAAAATAGACAATCACAAAGAGATCTTCACATGCTGTATGGATGGTTCCAGTTCACAGCAGAATGACAAAGAGTGAGGATCAGTGGGCCAGAGCCACCGTGCTGTTCTGTGATGGGTGTCCTCCGGCCTCCCATTGTCCAACGTCTTCATGATCTTGTACCTGGGGCTTTGGGAGCTCTTCCAACATTAGAGTCTGTCACCTGCAGTGTAAGAGAGTTAACAGCCACTCAAGTAACTGCTAAGAGCGTAAAAGGGAGAATAATTGCTCTTTGTTTAGACAAGTATGCAATTTGGGGCTGAATGTAAAACATATAAAAGAAACGACATATGAATAAATGTAACAAAAAATAAATGTGGTAACAAATGTAAAGGAAATTATAAGTGGAATTATTCAGCATTATAAGTTACCAAAATTTTGCATAAATGAGTTAGTTTAGTTTGTTTTTTAGTAACTGAGATAATTACTCATTAACAATAAAAGTAAGATTTAGAACCAGTAAGCCCCTTGACCCACACAGTTCCTGACCTGACAGCTGTCACTTAAAATTGGTAGCCATGAGACCACAGCTTAGTTGTTTTTCTGAATTTTCCTGCAGTACTCTCTGGGGCACTGCAGTGTGGGGCTAGTTGGTATGGATGAGGTTCCTTCCAGAAGATCCTTAGAAGAAGTAACACTTGGATGGAGTAACAAGATGGTAGTGAAACACTGGGCCTCCTCACATTAACCTTCGGTGTGAGGAGGTATACTATGCACCCTTCAGGGTACTGGCTGTAAAGTTCCCGTATTCAGTGAATACTGAGTGTGTGCTGAGTACCAGGGATCTTCCCAGGTGCTGAGACAGAGCAGATCAGAGCTTGCCCAAGCATGGCACTCAGGACAGGGAGAGGCTTTCACTCTAGTTCAGCAATTCAATGAGGAAGCAAATGTAGGAATTATCAGAGGGTGAAAAGTACCACAGAGCACAGAGTGAGGGCTATAGATAGTGCTAGTGTAGAGGACAGGGTAGTGTGGTGAGCAGTGCTGTTTTGCAATTTTCAGAGAAGGTAAGGGACACAAAGGAACTGAGATATTAAGAAATTGTGAGAAAGTATATCCCAGGGAGAGAGCAAAGCAAATGCAGGGCATGTTGGCTATTGGAAGGAGGTCAGCAGGGCAGAGCAAAGCAGGCTGCAAAGCCTAATAGGGACAGCACTGGGGCTTTGAGGACAGCATGCTCTCACCCAGGGTCCCTTTCCATATTCTCCTACAGGCTGATATTGGAACACATTGCCCCAGATGCAAAAGGCACCAGCAGGGGGTACTTAGGGAGTCCTCATACTTCAGGAAGGAGAGGATGGTGGCTGAGACAAGTGACAATGCTGGCAGGAAAGGGTTAGATCCCGGATATACTTGAAGATGCAGCCAGCAGGATTTGCTGACTCACACTGTATGTTTTTCACTGCACTGTATGACAAGAACAGCATACAAGGCTTAGAGCCTGAGCAGCAGAAATGATGGAGAGTTCCTCACTTCCTGGAGTGGAAGGCATGGGATGGACAGGTTGGAGTGGAGTAGAGTAGGTTGGGGGGGGGGGATCAAGTTTGCACTCCTGTCAGACATCTGAAGAGAGATGCCAGGCAAAGGCTAGAGGTATGAATCTGCAGCCCAGCTCAAGGTGTGGGCTGGAGGCATAAGCAAAGTGCTTTAGACACAGTGTGTTTTAAAATCATAAAGTTAGGGGCCAGCGATATAGGCCGGAGGCACAGTGCCTGCCTGACAAGCACAAGCCCTGAGTTTGATTCGCAGTACTACTACTACTGCTACTGCTACTTCTACTACTAACAACACAAAGTCAGAGGGAATTATCCTGGGAGTATATGTAGACAAAGAGAACAAAAGGTCCACAGACTAAGCCCTGGGACCCGTTAGTTAGAGGCCTAGGATTTAGGGAGAACTCAGTAGAAATGTCCTTACTCTACGACAGTATGGTACCTAGAAGTCACATGAGCAGAGAGAAAAACGGGAACCCCCAGCTCTAGCAGATCCATTTCATGGATCATGTCAGTCTGGGATTCAGCATGGATCACTGTGTCGAAAGAGGTCATATGATTAAGGCAAGATGTGTGGATCAGTGTTCAGGAGGCTGATCTGAGTAAGATCTCGAGAGAGGGAAGGAAAGGGGTGGAAACAGGACAAGCAGGTGACCGCTGGTCCTATAGTTTACCTGTAAGGCGGAAAACATGTGGGAGGCTGAGGAAGAAGGGGAACGAGGAAAGGCTTTCCAGCCTTTCATTCTAAAATGGGAGAAACAGAGCTCATTTGTGATGTTGAGGATGATGAAATGTGAGGGGAAATACAGGGAGAGAAGGCACAATGTAAAATAAAGCATCAAGATAATTTAGTAAAGAACAGAGGGGAAATATGTGCTTATTTGTAGGCTGGAAGAGCAGAGACGATGTACCAAAACTAGTGGCTGATTTCTTGGCAAAGAAATTTGACCTGGACCAGTTGATAACACACATTTTACCTTTTAACAAAATCAATGAAGGGTTCGAACTGCTGTACTCAGGACAAAGGTAACTACTGTTTTGGTGATCTAGTGTCTTCCCCAAGGGAACTGTTAAAGTCTAGCTTTTATTTATTTATACTGAGAATCAAACTTTCCTCCTTGTGCTTGCTGGGCAGGTGCCTCTAAACTATATCCCTGTTCCCAAAATCTAGTGTTTATAAATGTACATCTTCCTTTCATATTTTATTTCTAACTACCTAAGCTAGGCAGAATGATGTAGCTACTTACTTTCTTCTTTAGAGTCTGTCATTGTCCTGTGTTTAATTTTTAAAATCCTCTGTCCTGAGGATTATTTTTTTTTTTTGGCAGTCTGATTTCACCTTGGCTATTTTCATTTAATCGTAAAGTTGCTAACTTCTTCAATTCACACCACACAATTCTTGTACATCACAGTTTTCAAAGTGGTCTTCCCAATGTGCTTTTTCCTGTTTTTGAGACTGGTATCATTCTTACCATTTTCTGCTGACAAAACTAAGGTTAGGAGCGATAAATAACAATATCAGAGCCTGGTCTCGTGGAGGGCACTGACTCGCTGCAAAACGTGTGTCCTGTTCGTCACAAGCCACAGATCCTTACAGAGCTCGGCAAGCTCCAGATACACACGCGTCCTCTCATGCAGGCAGTGTTTCTGGGCCTGAGCAAGGAGAAAGGTAGAATATAAGAACTGACACAGTATTACTTAGCTCTGCCAATGGGTGCCTGGGCAGTGCACACCTGAACAGCAGCCGAAAAGCCTGTCTGTAAGGTGCACAGTGATGTCACTTGTTGGATCTTTAAATATTTACTGAGCACCTGTTATATATATCTGGAGGATTTAGATAATACACCATAGTAAAAAGAACTGTGCATTTACCCAAGATCTAAGCTCCCACCAACTTTCCCGAGTGCCATTTTCAATGTTGTGTCTGGTGTCTAAGACTGGGATAGCCTGAAGAATCATGGCATTATGGACATACATTCAAACTATTTTTAAGCAAGGAAACAATGGATTTCATCAGAGAAACTGTACTCTTTTATTTATATAAGCAAGCTTAATGGCTTTACATGGCCAATTCAAAAATATTTGTCTTCTAAATAAATCCTTTCAGAAATTTTGCTTCCAATTTTGCCCTAATTCAGTGACCCTGAAGTGGTATTTGTGACCAGATCCTTGTTTCCATGTGCTTCCTGCACAGCTCCCCTGAATATCCCCCTCACCTCAACGTCACCCCTAGTAACCCTTTTACCTGTTCTCATCTCAGAAAACACTATCTCTGCTTCTGCTTTTATGGACTAGAAGCCGCAGCACCCTGTGACTTCTTTTTTACTCTTGTCCACCACAACCAGATCTGTGCTAAGCACACAGGTGCTTCCCAGGTGCCTCCCTTGTGTTCACTGCAGCCTTTCCTGCTCCTGGACCCCTCTGGGCCTTGGTACAGTGTGTTGCAGCTCCTTTGGATGTGTCAGCACAGGAGCCGGATAAGGGTCCTGCTTCTGGGTCACTCTTCACCCAGCTTCCAGACTCTGGCTGCCCCCAATATCAGTGCCTCAGCATAGTTTCAAAAGCCCTCAACACCAAATTAAAGCCTATTTTCCTTATTAATATACTTACGTAAATGTAGCCCCCAGTCTCCTGTATCTTTTCTACTATGCTTTCAGGGATTTTTCTGATTTCTTGGGCATAGAAAGGCTAAGCACCTTGCACACCTCTTCCTATTTGTGCCTCCTTGGCCTTGTGCACACTTTCTTCTCAGCCTGAATACCCTTTCCTCTCATCAGCGCACTGTGGTACACGTACTAATGCTTCCAGAATCAGATCAATACCTAGTGGAGAAGCTTAGGGAGAATATAACGTATAAGTATCTCAGGCTCCAGGGGTTTCCAGGAACAGATTGTCTGATGTTTTGAAAAAGCAGAAGAAATAATTGTCGGGCTTGGGAGATAGCTCAGTAGAATAAGCACTTCCCTGGCAAGTACAATGACCTGAGTTCAATGCCTGATTCTGCCAAAACAAGAAAAGAAAAGAAAAAAAAAAAGACATAATTGTTTAAGCTTTTTTTTTTCTTTGAAAAATAGGAGTAAATCACTAAAAAGTCTAATTTCACCTTTCAGCATTCGAACTGTCTTGACCTTATAAGATCCTGGGGAGGACTCTGTGGACCTTTCCTTCTGTGATTCCCTCCTTGGATAATGCAGCTGTGTAAGATCTTATGTACACTGTTATGCTTTTTAAAGGTTTATGAGTCTTACTAATAACTGAAAATCTTATAAACACCTGGGTTTTAGCATGAGATTAAATAACAAAATTGTAACTTTATGCTGCCTTGGATTGTAAGTATATATCTTAAAAAGCATACTTCTGGTGTTCTATGTTGGGCTGGGAAGTTTTCTTAGAGCCTTTGCTAACTGGTGTTACTTAAAGCAGACAGCATGCAAAGACATGGTCACTGTATTTTGAAAGGTAATATTCCTTGAACACATTAGCACTATTCCTGTCTGGATTTGAATGTCGATTCTTTAAAACACTCATTAAAAATTAACTTAAATTGTGAAGCAAGTTCATTGCACTCTACATGTTTGATTAGATTATGAAAGAAGGGGAAATTTTCCAATGTTTAATTTTTCATTAGATAACTTGGTGAAATTAAATATATTATAAGGGTACTTGAGACCTTTTTTCCATATATATTCATATTTTATAAAATACACTTTATAATGTTTTTAAATGCACAATCATAGCCAGAATCATGTTGTAATATTTATCATAATGTTCATCTTACTAAAGTAGAATTTCAAATTTGTAAGTCTCTAATTTACTTAATAATGACTCATTTAACAAAAGGTGTTTTAAGTTTGGTATAACTGCACTTGTGGATATATCTACCATTTGTTTACCCATATGTATGTAACCACATATATAAAATGTGTTAAAAATCTTATTACAATTAAAAGTTTTACAACATGATTTGTGGTGACATAGTTTGTTTCAAAGAAGCACTTTTAGTTTGTTACCAAGATTTTACTGGTTCAGGATAAGTGATGCAGCACCTCAAAAACATAAGAAAATTTATGAGAAAAATACTAAGTGGGGTGGGCATAGCAGACACTTGGAGTTTCAGTAGAAGGACATCACATAGCTTAGATCACCCTGCCTTAGTGATTTCAAAATGCCCCGGTAACTATATGCCACTTCTACATGATGTATATTTGCTAAAGAACAGTGGCTTGATTCAAGGGTTAGATTGTCTTTTCCAGGAAAGGGTTCTTTGAAACTCATTCTGTGGGGCCAGCATTATCCTGATACCAAAAATCATACAATTACACAAAATAAAAAATATAGGTTAATATTCCTCATAAATACAAATGCAAAGCTTCTGAACAAGATACTAGCAAACTAAATCCAAAAAGACAAAAACAGTAAGTTATCTCTGCCCTAAGTTGGCAAGATAGTTCAGCATGTACAAACTAACAAACTTAATGCATGATATTGACAGAATGAAGGACAAAACCACATGATCATCTCAACTTGATAATAACAGAAAAAGCATTTGGTCAAATTCAACTTGGTATTAAGAACAACTGTCAACAAATTTTCATGTAGGAGGGATGTACCTGAACTGAATGAAAGCTACGTATGACAAAATCACAGCCCAGATCATATAGAATAGGAGAAAAGCTTAAAACTTTTCTCCAATATTTGAAACAAGACAATAATGTCCACTTTCATATTGAACATAGTACTGAAAATCTTCAGAATAAAGCACCAGCAAGCAGGCGTAGGGCCTGGGGATTGGCTCCCCGGACCTGCCATGCAGGCTCCACCCCCAGGGCACACTGGGACTGCAATTGAGACTGGGCATGGTGGCGCGCACATGTAATCCCAGCTCTTGGGAAGCTGTAAACAGGCGGATCACTACTAGACTGATCTAATAGTGAGACCCTGAACACCTTGTAGACCTTTCCCTAAAATATAAAATAAATAAATGAAAATCTTACCAGAAAAATTATGCATCAGAAATAAAAAGCATCAAAATTAAAAAGGAAGAAATCAAATTGTTCTTATCACATGAAAAATCTAATACTGTAACTTCATTAAGATGCTGAAACAAATTTAATAAAGTTGCAAGATACATAATTAATATACAAAAATTAATAGTATTTCTAAATACAAATCAACTTGCTGAAAATAATTTTAGAGTCTGGGGTGTTAGCTCAGTAGAATAAGTGCTCACCTGGCAAGGGCAAGGTCCTGAGGACAATCCCCAGGACCTCAAAAAAAAAAAAAAAAAGTAGTGAAAATAATTTTAGAGTCCCTTTCACAATACCTACAAAAATAAAATACTTAAATGTAAATTTAACCAAGGAAGTTAAAGGCATCTACACTAAAAATTATCCAACACTGATAAAAACATTGAAGACACATAGAAAAATAAAAAGACACTCCACAAGCATTGTTTGGAATGATTAATATTATTAAACTGTTACACTACCTAAAGCAATCTACAGATTCAATGCAATTCTCATCAAAATATTTGTGGCATTCTTCATGGAACTAGAAAAAAATCTAAAGTACATATGGACCCTCTCCCTGAAGAAAAAGACACTAAATAGCCAAAGTAACTCTGAGTTAAAAGAACAAAGCTGGAGTCAGCATAATGTCTGACTTGGAAACACATTGCAAAGTCATAGTAACCAAAAGAATAAGGTACTAGCATATATACCAATGGAACAAAAGAGAAAACACAGAGATTAGTCTATGTACATAAGTTCAACTGGTTTTCAGCAGAGTTGTCCAAAACATGTATTGGAGAAAGTTTCTTTTAAAAATGTGCTGAGCTGTGGGTGCCTCACCCGGGGTGGCCTAAGGGCTTGGCCAACAACCTCTGAGAGTGCTCCAGGCAGTGGCCCTGTTCAGGACACTACGGAGGCCCAGGTGGACTGACGTGGCTCCAAGTCTAGCCCCTGCATGGAAAGCAAGTTAAGGATTAATATGAAGAAGCTCAGAAGCAGATAGTGCCAGACAATAAGCAGTACTTGGTAAACATTTGGTTAGTGGGGCAGCATTTCCTTTTCCCACTGCTGCTGAGATGGCAGAAATTAGTCAAATTCAGTATGAAATGGAATACACCAAAGGTATTAGTGAATGAGGGTCGGAAAAATTAAAAGTAGCACCACCAAATGCTGACCTGGAACAAGGATTCCAAGAAGGAGTTCCAAATGCTAGTGTGATACAAGTTCCAGAGAGGATTGTTGTAGCAGGAAATAATTAAGACATTTTGTTTTCAAGACTAGCAGATTTTGACCTTGTTCAGTTGACTCCGTTAAAACCTCTGGCACTAAAAACAACACCTCGTGTACTTATGCTAAGTGAGAGACCGCTAGATTTTCTGGATTTAGAAAGACCTCCAACTCCTCAAAGTGATGAAATCCGTGCAGTTGGCAGGCTAAAAAGAGAGCGCTCTAAGAGTGAAAATACTGTTCGCCAAAATGGACAGCTGGTCAGAAACAATTCTATATCTGTGTTGCGCGGTGAGTCTGCTGACACCACTTCCAGTCCTCATCATGACGTCAGGTACAGAATTTCAAATGTAGATACAACAATTGAAGGAACAGTGGATGACGTGACTGCTGTAGATGCAGCTTATTAAGATGACAGATGATCAAACTAAACAGATTCTTACAACTTCTAGAAGAGGAAAACAAAGAATGTGCTAAAACAGAAATGGGCTGCTTAATGGCTGGCTTTGGTTTCACCACCAGAAGTAACCTTGGCACTCAGATATATTGTCTCAGCTGCTGGAAACATAAAGGATTTACAAATGTCTTTGTTTCTGTCTTTGCAGTGTATGTAATTTTATATAGCCCATGCCCTGAAAAAGTATATTTCTTCCAGAAAGTAGGGGAAAGGACCTATATTTGTAGAAGTAAGGTATATTCTGTCTATATGCTATATTCTCTTTAAAGTAGTTCTGCAGTAATATCTTACGTAAAACTGTTTTGCATGTTTTGTAAATAGGTATTATTTGATTTTTTAAAAAACTAGTTTTTAACCTCATCAATCTGCACAGCTGATTCTGTGAAAGAGAGAGAGAACACATCAGGAATGATTTGGAAAGGTATCTGTAAAAGAAAATAAGTGTTTTGTGCTGTTTTGGTAATAGGCATTTTGGTCTTTTAACTAGTAAGCAGTTTTGTTAAGAGACAGTTTTGCACCACCTTTCGACATTAACCCTTGATGTCATGGTCTGGTACCAGATTTAAGAAAATCAAACCACCTAATATTTCATGATCACCTGTACAAATTAAATTGATTCCTAACAATAAAGAAGTAATATATGTGTGGCGTGCATGTTTTTTCATTTTAGTTTTGCAGATAATTTTCTATAAAATACATTTTTACTAAGTCCCTGTGTGAACAACTTAAAACAAAAGACAAACTAAGGTACAAATGTAGTATATTTAATAAACTGTCAACCAAAGCTATAAAAAAATAAAAATGTGCTGGGGAAACTGAATATACATATGCAAAATAATGAAATTAGATCCCTGATTCCCACCAGTTACAACTCAATATGGATTAAATACCTAAGTGTAAGACCTGAAACTATGAAACCACTAGAAGAAAACAAAGGGGACACACTTTATATATTAGTATAGGCAAATATTATTTTGGATAAAACCTCAAAACACAGTCAGCATAAAGGGAAACTAATCAAATGAGTTGATATCAAACTGAGAGTCTTCTACACAGCAGTTCAACAGAGTAAAGAGGTAATCGGTAGAACAGGAGAAAATTTTTCAAAAGGAAGTTACCATCTAGTACATAGAAGGCACACAAGCAACTCAACCATATGAAAATGAATAAACAAATTGAAAATTAGGCAAATGGTTTAAGTAGACATCTTTCAAAAGAAGATATACGACTGGCCAATAATATATGAAAAATTGATCAACATTGTAAAAAAATTATAAATCAAAAGCACAATGAGATATCACCTCATATTTGTTAAGATATATCATGAAAAAGACAAAAAATAAGTGCTGATAGAGATATGGAGAAAGTGGAACTCTTGTACACTGTTGCTAAGAATGTAAATTAGTACAGCTAGTATGGAAATCAATACCAAAATTCATAAGAAAAATAACTGTAAGATACAGAAATCCCACCTCAAAGTACATAACCATCAGTAACCCATCAAC